CCATATAAGCCTACGTGAAGCCTCTGCATTTTTTTATGCTTGCTACACATGTTTGTGGGAAGTTTCTTATGCTGTGCTTGTAAGCATCTGTACTTTTTTTATGCTTGCTATGGGTCTGTGAGAAGCCCATTTTCTTGTGCTCTGCCTGAGGCCTCTGAATTTTTTTTACGCTTGCTATAGACGCTTTGCAGCAGCTGTGCATGGACGCCGCCATAACTGACCTTCAGTTTTTGTTTCCTCTTACTTCGTTTATTTCACTTCATCATTACCATAGCAGGCCAGGTTATTGCCATATTAGATTCACCTGTGTCCTTTTTTAAAGCATCGGCCACTGTAGAGGATCGTCAATTACCGTTTCAGTTGCTCGGCATCTCGGTAAGACAACAGAAGGTCAGCAATGGCGGCTGTAATTTGGCGCGTGTGTAAAGCGTCTATAAGTCTGTGGAACGCTTTTTTTCTTAGGCTTTGCCTGTAAACCTGTGTGAGGCCTCTGAATTTTTTTTACGCTTACTATACTTCACTTCACCTTATCTGCGAGCGAAACCAAAGCTAAAAGCGCGAGAGCAGCGCTTTTTGCGTTTCTGCCCAGCTCGCGCGCTCGAGCAAAGCCTGAACGAACGGAGCTTTCGTGCTCGCGCTTCCAGCTTTGCCTTCGCTCGCACATAAGATGTTTGTGGGAAGCTCTTTTTCTTATGCTCTACATGCAAGCCTGCATGAAGCCTCTGGATTTTTTTCATGGTTGGTTCAGATGTCTGGGGGAATCCTTTCTTTTTCTTGTGCTCTGCGTGTAAGTTTGCGTGAAGCCTCTAAATTGCTTTCACACTTTCTTCAGCTCTTTGTGGGAAGCTTGCTTTTTTTTTGTGCTCTGTGTGTAAGCCTGTGTGAAGCCGCTCAATTTTTTTCACACTTTCTTCAGCTCTTTGTGAGAAGCTCTTTTTCTTATGCTCTGCATGTAGGCCTGAGTGAAGTCCCAGAATATTCTTTTACTTTTACGCTTGCTTCAGATGTTTGTGGGAAGCTTTTCTTTTTATTGTGCTCTGTGCGTATGGCTGCATGAAGCCTCTGAATTTTTTTACGCTTGCTACGGTTCTTTGTGGGGAGCACTTTTTCTTCTGCTCTGCGTGTAGGCCTATGTGAAGTTTTCGCTGTCATGCAAACTTGCCCTTCTGTATCATGTTTTTTTTTTCTTGTCCTCCGTCTGGTGCTGTGCACTGCTTATGTTTCACTCATCCCTTTTTGTTTCATGTGGATGTTTGTAGCCTACACTTTCTTTCCTGATGTCTTGCATGAAAGCCTATGCAGAGACTTCCTGCCCATGTTAGCTTGTCTTTTCCCCTGTCATTCTTCTGTTCGCTTTCCTCGTGTCATTCGCACACCTCGAAATATGCACTCTCTCTGTATCCTCAAGTTTTTCACTTCTGCACTTGCTTAAGACATTTGCAAGCGATCTCTTTACTTCATGAGCCTTCCATGTGAGCCTTCACCGTGCAGCACCTTTACGCTTCTGGGAGCCTATGCTTTGCCTCCGACCCTTTTGGTTTATCCACTTGCCTATTTTAATTTTGCAGTTTCTGTGTTTTTTCTTGCAGAGGCACGAGACCCATGTCCCCTCCATGGTCATCGGTTGCAGCTTTTGGGTCTGTCTCATTTTATGTCATTGTAGTTGCAGACTTAATTATTGTCAGGTATCTGTGTGTTAGTTTGTTTGCAGTAGACCTAACTGCCGCCATTTCCTTTCCGTGAGTTAGTTTTTGTCGGACGCTCGTACTCAGTGTAACAGGTGTAAGGTCTGGGTTTTGTTGCTGTGCCCAGGATGTTGCAAGGAAGCTGCTGGCCAATTGTGTGCATGCATCAAGAATAGTTGTGTGTCAGAAGTTCTTTTATTTCCTTTTTTTGTGACTCCATACAGACCAATGTTGAAATTGTTGGTGGCTGCTTCATCCATGGAGTGCAAGGAACATACCTATTTGTTCATTAGGGAATAATTGACATGGCCGTGTCATACATGTTTGTTACATGGTCACTGGAAAGTGGGGGAAAAGAGAGAAAGCCCATGGCCGTTGCACAGGAAAACCCCCAGAAACACTGACCCCTGGTGGTGGCCTGATCCAACACTTTGCCGCACAAGCTAAAGGTTCATCTTGGTTGGTGTCGTCCGTGCCTGAGTGGGGCATCCTTGCACTGCTTAAAATGCATGCTCAGTTCCTGGTCCAAAGCCTGGTTCTTTCACTTGTTAACTGCCAATCAAGTTAGTGCCCAGTGGTAATTTCATCATCTGACTAAAACGAGTTGAGTTAAAGCGTCTGGGGCACAACTGGTCCAGGCGGTGCTTCATTGTGCCATGGTGGGTTTTACCAAAGTCATGCAGTTTTCGACAACCTGGAAGATGATCTTGGTCCCCATTGTTCTACAGCTCCCATGTTTCTTTCAAAAACAGGGCTGCTTTCTTTGAGGATGCTAGGTCGTTCCAGGTCTACCTTTGGCTCCTGGGTCTCAGTGATGAGGTCCATGCAGCAAACTTTAGGACAAAAGTTGAACGCGAGCCCTGTTGGAGATTGTCCTCCTGTGGTAGGCGGTGTGCGACGGTACACAAGGAGCCATCTTGGCAAGTATGCGGCCAAAGAACCACCCGAGAGTTTCTTTAGACTGTCCTTGATCGTTCTGACAGCTCTCTCGGGAAGTCTGTTTGACTGTGGATAGTTCGGTGGAGTCCTTAGGTGGCCAATTCCATTCTGAGTAATGAACTCGGTAAACAGCGTGCCGGGGAATGGTATTTTATTATTGGACACCAAGCAAACAGGAAGTCCTAACCAGGCAACCGTGTTCCTCAGATATTCGACTGTTGCAGTGGAGTTGGCTAGCTGCTGATGCCAGTGGTTTCTTTCAATCTTGGTAACTGTTTACCACAATTAGCTCCGTTTTGCCTTCAATAGGTGCAAGGCAGTCCATGTAAATTCTTGTCCATGGAACCGTGGGTTCTGGCCAAGCTTGCGGCTCCGCTTCTGGTGGCATTAATGCAGCCTGTTGGCATATTGTTCAAGGTTGTACGGCATCATCCATTGCCTTACCTCATTCCGTTGATAGGCATGCATGTGTCATGGAATTCTTGGAAGAAGGTTAACCTCCTATGGGCCTTTTGACTCCGTAGATGTTGTGTGACGACACTGGTCCAACTGCCTCTGGAGGTGTGGCACATTCAGGATCAGTTCCTCAGTGTGGTTGCGATACACCAAGAGCCTGACGCAGCAGTGTCTGCTTTGCCTTGTTAAAGCCGTCGTCTTCCTCTAATACACACCTCTATTTCACATTTCTCCAGAGCAGGTGGTTGAATGGAGCCAATAGCTAAAACATTTGAGGCAGGCAGCTTGCATGCTATAGATGATGAATCCTGAGAAATAACAAAGTGCACGGCAATTCCAAGAAGCCGGAGCCTTCAGGTTGGCTTTCAGCTTGTTGAGATAGGTAGGTAAGTCCGTCTACCTGGTGATCGAGCTGAACGACCAACTTGCTTGCATCCAAACTCGCAGGACAGTCCTCAGAAGTACTGGCCCTCTGGTAGCCGGACCCATTGAGACATTGCCTTTATATTTCGTAATTAGGTGAAAGCTTGGTAACTTAATCGGGTGGACGAATATTAGATTTCTGTCATTTCACATCGTTCATGCTATCTGATTAATTAATTTGAAGTTTTTTTGAGTGTCCAAGTAGTGAAAATATTTTGAACGTTTCCATGGTATATACTGGTAGTTTAGTGGCCGCATATTAAAACTGAATGTGTGACAAATGTTAGAAAGAAGATCCTGTCAGTGCCCATGCAAACGACACCGCTATTTTAGAACCCCATAAATTGCCGGAGCAGTATAGAAAGAGAGAACAGTACAAGTTATTAGAAATGAAAGAAGGGGTCCACCGTGCACATCGGTACTGGTTTGGTGATTGGATGAGTCAATTCAGGGACGTTCAGTGCTTGTACGAAGGTTTCCTAGAGGCCGTTTCATTCACATAATGCAATCCTTCCAAGAAAAAAAAACGAGTAAACTGACCTTGCAGTATTTTTCTTCGCTGGTGAAGGCACAATTAAATTCATTCCAGAGCTCAGTTTAGTTGGTTAAATTATTCATATCCTTTTCCTTAGAAGTCTCGATATAGCAGCACGTGTCGGTATCATTCTAAGAAGTCTGTTCGTAGATGATAGAGTGGCACCTTAACAGGACCCCGTTGAGCAAAATGACTGATCTTGTTGAGGTAAATGAAGTGCCTCACGAACGAAGGCAACAGAGAGAGTGAGAGACGCACCCACTCATGAATGTTTAAGTCCTCACAAAAGAAAAAGCGTCTAACGAATTTAGCAACGTTTCTATTAGAGCCCCGTCTGTCTTCACCGACGTACTCAGCAACTCGGGGCATTTCCGTGCCCAGCGCCAGTGCTCACCATTAATAAAACGCAGTCTTAAAATGTTTGAGTCGTGTATACGCTCTGTGCACGATTATCTCTCTAGAAATTATTAACTATACAAAAAGGGCGCGAACTTCTGTCGCGATGAACAAAGAAGGTAGTGCTCCTCGGCCAGACTAGTAACTCTAGCGCGACTAACGTCACCGACATAAAAAACTAGCTTTTTAGCAACCTAGTTTTTTCAAAACTGTTGTTTACGTTAAAACGTAGAAAACACAATCAGCAGGCCGTGTTTGGCTCGCCTCCGAGCAGCGGTTGCTGTTGTTAGCTTGGAGAGACTATGCTGAGCTGTCGACGAGAAAGCTGTCGTAAAATTTCCAGGAATATATATTTATTATTGGCGCAGTTGGTCCTGTAATTGTTTACACAGACTTCTTTTCGAGCGTGTTCTAAGCGCCATGTTAACAGATAAAAAGTAAACTAAAAAGTTATACTCCTCTTATTTATTTGCAGGACAGTCAACAAGCTGCAAAGAGCAGCATGTACAAAATGAACCGGAAAAGATGTTCAGCCACCAGCAAGCTGACGACTGCGCCACTTCACCATGCTGTGGCACGACGCCAAATTGTGTGCCGACGCCAAGCTGTGCCACGACGCCAAGCCACATCGTTATGCACCAGATGAGCATCCGAGATTTTGCTCAACGTTTTCCGCCAACCAGAACCAGCTGTCTGACGACGACCCGTCGCTGCCAATGCCGACTAGCGACCTGGACAAGCAAGCCAGGCAAGCACGGGGTCCTTTTCAGCCTCATCTAGGCAGCTATGCCCAAACAGAAACGAATAATCGAAAGCGCAGCTTTTGCGAACACTGGTTTGAAAAGTTCAGCTGGCTTGAATACAGTCCAGCAAAAGATGCAGCTTTTTGCTTTTGATGTCGGGCGTTTCCGCCGAGGAGTGGTATATCGAAAGCACATTTAGACCCATCCTTTGTTTGAACTGGGCTTCGAACTTGGAAGAAAGCAATAGAAAGGTTTAATCAGCATGGAAGGTCTGAGGGCCATCTTAACAGTGTCATGTGATGGAATTGCTCTAAAGCAAACAAATCGATTGCTTCAATGCTGGATGAAAGCTTTGAACGACGAGCATCTCAAGTTGAAGAAAAAGGAAAACAAAATCGTGAGGTGCTAAAGAGCCTTACTGACATCGTTGTTCTTCTCGCAAAGGGAGGATGGCCATTCAGAGGGCACAGTGAAAATAATGAAAGCGCAGAGCAAGGTCTATATTTAGAGATAGTTAATATCTTAAAGAAGTACGACCCCGTTTTGCGGGGCCACTTAGAGTGAGGCCCAAAGAACGCCTCCTACATCAGTAACAGAATACAAAATGACATCCTAGAGTCACTGCATGCAGCCATTTTTTCTTCGATTGTCCACCCCATAGAAGGTAAAACAGTCTCGCTCATGTGCAACGAAACAAGTGACTGAGGTCATCATGAACAACTCTCCCTTGTTATTAGGCACTTCTGCGAAATTAAGAACAGGCCAGTGGAGGTCTTCCTTACTCTCGAAAGGCTTAAAAATATAGACAGCGACTTTGTGTTTTCCACATTGCACGCAGTTCTCACCGCCATCAATGTTTCCTGGAATTTTGCGAGTTCCGTCTGCTTTGACGGGGCTTCTACTTGTAAGGGCACGTTGCTGGCGTTCAAGCAAAGTGCAAACAGCAGAACAACAAGCTGGTCTACCTTCACTGCTATGCCCACAGCTTAAACCTGGTGCTTGTCGATGCGTGTTTGTCTTGAGCAGAAAACAGAATGATGTTTGATTTCTTTGGCGTTGTGCAACTTGCGTACAACTTTATTGAAAACAGTGTTGTGCGCCCTACTGTTTTGAGCGAATTTTCCGAACTGTCGGCACACAGCTGAAAACTTTGAAGTCTTTGTCTACAACCAGATGGGCATGTCGTGCTGAAGCAGTAAAGGCCGTTCGTGAGAGCTACAGCGAACTGTCGAGTGCAGTAAGAATGATTGTGGACTCCACAAAGCACCCGGAGACGAAAGCAAAAGGCAAGGGACTCTTTTCCCAGGTGATGAGCTTTGACTTTGTCTGCAGCATGGAAATAGCTCACCCTATTCTACAGCTTATTTTGAAGGTTAGCCGAGCTCTTCAGGACCCTAAAATTAACCTTACCACTGCACTCAATGAAGTTAGGCATCTGCGAAAAGTGCTGCGAGAGATGAGGCAAGATGGGACAGTCTTTGAAAAGATGTTTGCGGAAGCTTCTTCGATCTGCGAGATGAATGAAATCGAGATTAACGAAGTTTGAAGAAAAAAGGTATCGAAGCGAATTGACCAAAACTGGGCGAATTAATGTCTCTATGCGTCAAAAAAGGAGGAATTTCGTGTCGGTGTTTTCTTTTCGATGCTTGACTCCTGTGTTCGAGGGATCGAAGAAAGGTTCACACAAGAAACTTTTGAGCTTGTGTGTGCTGTCCAGAACCTTCTGGGCCTCTCTGCGAGTGACGAACAAATATCTCTTATTTGTAGCTTTTTTGAGGTAGATCCCCACAGCTTGCGTGCTGAAATGCGGCTCCTGAAGTCCCGAACCAGCGACGAAAAAGCAAACAGCATGACCGACTGTGACTGGCTGGATTCACTCAAAGAAAATCGGTTGGACAAGTCAGTATTCAAGGACTTTTCTCGCGCTCTTCAACTTTTTTCCACGATTCCTGTAACCAGTTGCTCGTGCGAAAGGACAATTTTGAAGCTCGCACATGTAAAGACCAAGTTAAGATCCACGATGTCGCAGGAACGGCTTCGTTGGCTGATGCTGCCCTTTGTGGAGCAGGACATAGCAACATCCACCAGTTTTGATAATATCTTAAAGCATTTTACGACTAAAACGCGCAAATGTTTGTTATGAATGAGTTTTAATTTCGCAGGGTATGCTATCGCATTAACCTACAATGTCACATATTTCTACTTTATTCTTAATTGAATGACAGCCGGCGAAAGAGGGTGCTTTACAGCCGATTCCGTCCAAACTAAGGTTCGCCTCTCACACCAATAGTATTTTTGCACAGCTCAACTTGAATAGTATTTTTGTAAAGTGTAGTTAATTTTACTGTGTGTTACTGTTTTCATTTGCACCAGTCCTGTTGTTGCGTTGTGTTAAATTTTTTTTAGAGTCTACCGTTTGTGAATTGAAATTGTGTATCGTCTGAGCCCTCGTGCGATTCATTTTCTTTCTGTGTTTTGCGATGGCGCTTGAGCCCTACGAGTGCAAGCTGTGGTTTCTTTATCGTGGAGGTCTCCACTTTTGTTTGGCAATAAATCGTTTTTGTTGTTAGAAAAGTTATTTTATTTTCTCATTTCTCCCACACTTCAAAGCGCATGAAAGTCCACTTTCACGCAGAGCACTCGCAAATCTAATTGCTGCGGTCTACGAGGAAATGGATACAATGACACGTAACAGTGGCAAGTATGACGTTTTGTGGCATTACGTCATGTTCGGTGTCACTGCTCAGATTTCATTTTTGGGTTCAAACATATTTCAAGCCTTGTCATTCTCCGGGCTCCATTCGTAAGCCGCAATAATTAGACTTCCAAGTAATCTGCGGAAAAGTAAACTCAAGGGTAGTTTTATGGTGACAATGAAGTAAAATTGGAAGTCATATTTCGCGGTTAAAATATGGTGTTCTAGTGCACTCCTACTAGGGTACACTAGAACACCTTACCCCTACGGCGTAAGGGTCTCGGTGAGACTGGGGGGGGGGGGGGGCGCTGCAGTGAAATTGGCCCCCCCATAGGAGGACCCTGTCCACGCCTATGATCTTCCAGTATGCTTTGAATGTTATATTTCTCAATTTAGAAATGACTAAGTCTTGATATATTGATTGGAACATGTCATAGCGTCAGTAAACCTAAGATGCAAGGGGACACAGGGGAGATAAAAAAAGAGGGACAACGCACATACCATCCCGTTCAGTGCTGTCACTCTTTTTTTTTGTGTCTTCTCCTTTCGGTCTTCCTGCGCCTAAGATTTAGTAATGTTTAAAATTCACGGTCTTGCCTGTGCCGTAATATGTTACAATGTCTGCTATGTTACAAGTCAAGAGAGATGCCTAAATGCTTGCCATAGCACCCTATTTATAATGGCATGCAATAGCGTTTTAAATGTGTGGGATGTGTATGGGGGGGTATGTTGCCATGACGAAAATTGTATAAATTATAGGAGGCATGTTGTTTCAAAAATGTTGTGTTTTATAAACTTTACTATAACTTACCTAATGCAGCATAAAATGCCCCAGGTTAACTTCTTTGCCTTCCTTTCTGCACTTCCTTCTTCCTTCTAATGCAGCAGTAGTCACTACTAACCATTCATGTTTTTAACTTTCCGTGACGCATAACACATCATTTCAATGCATTTCTACTACCCGCCATTGTGATAGGCAAAGTATTTGCCTTACATTTTTTTCTCTGCCATTCCATGTGCCATAAAATTATGAGCATGTGCTCATATCGCAATAGGTGCCCACCCCCACTTTTGAACATTTAAAAAGTGATTAAGAACATATCAAGCACCCAGGCCAGTAAACTTCTGAATGTATTGAATGAAACAAGGCGCTCCTCCGCATCAACCACATTTCCAAGTGCGCTGGTGCAGAGCGCTGAAGCTTTCCACGCTCACTCCGGTAAGAAGCAATGAAGCTTCACATGAGAGTGCCAGCACAAAGCTGGCTGGATGCAAGCGGTGCAACTGCTTTAAGCAAATAGGGGTCCCACCAGACTACAACACTGCTCCTGCACCGTTCCGACTTTCAGCGCTGGAACCTGCAAAATGCCCATCCCATATTTTTACAATTATCTCCAACCATTTGATGAGCGCTTTCTCAATATTTTACGGCACATAGCTTCTGGTAGGAATGCCAGTTTCTTTGTCTTAAACACCAGCTGGTGTAGTACCTGCGAAACTCTTAAAAACCCATAGACAAACTTGGGGATTATGATTCTAACCCATTGTTCATAAAGCAATTGTGGTAAGATTTGTTTGTTATACGAAGAGCACAATAACACTGATCTGGGGAAGCTGTTTTTAACCAAAATTTGATATCATACTTGCATAACATGCCATTTACTGCAAAATTAACAGGACACCTGAGCATGGTAAGTCATCTTGAGTATTTATCATTCTTCTGTTCTTTTTGAGATGAGTTTTGAGTGGAATCCCCTTGCTTGAATGGGAACAATATAAGGCTTAAAATTTCACGGTTAATTATTTTTCAGTAATTTTTAATACATTTTAAATAAACTTTTTATTACTAATGAAAGACACAGGACTTGTATATACTAACACTTTTTTTTTACTGAAGGCTGCAAGTCTGCAAGCAAATATCAAAACTTGCCAGTTTTAAATTAAGGAGTGCACAAATTATTCTTAGAAGCTTAAAGGCTTTAGTGAAGATTGGTACTCGGATAACTGACACTGCCTCACACTATAATAATATGTCATGCTTTTGCTTTAACATTTGTGGTACACTGGTTCCCCTCTAATGTGTGGTACATGCTTTAATGCTTTCTGTAACTCTAATGGGATGTCTGGATCACCAAGTGGAGAAAGGTAATAAACTCCAAAATTTATGAAGGGGCAACAGGCTCTCAAAATTTGTCACCAGATTTAAAAAAAGAACAAAAAAAACATGTGCACAAGAAGTTGCGCCGATAATGGTAGAAGAGTGGCGTAGTAATTCCGTAAACACAATAATTAGGAGGTGCATCCACCAAG